CACCAAAACCTATTTGCTTGACTCCAATTTATTCTTTGTGGTGCGGGCGTTCATAATTCGAGATCAAACTCGTCTACCCGCTGCTTTTCTGCATCCCTGGTATACACGTAGGAGCTCCTCTCGCATCCCAGCCTGGACCTGCTGGTCCAAAGTAAGCAGCCACCTTAACAGCGGAGGCACTGAGAGAACAGGAGTTACTGCAAGGGAATGAATCGCAAAGGTCTAGCGACAGAACAAACATTGACTTGTGAGAAGATGGCAAATGATCCAGGCCACCTGGCCGCCATGTTCGTTTAGTAACCCTGTGATGTACCTTGTAAAGCCTTATTGATCTATCAGAACCAGCTCTCGAGGCTCGAACGAGCAGAGAAAAGCTGCTTTTTATAGTCTTAAGTTTATTACTCTATCGACTGCCCTTAAGGCTGAATCAGCCACAGCGCTACTAACAATGGTTTCTTGAAAACGTTTTAAGCTCTCCTACTTATATGCGGGTTTTGCTGCGCAGGGAGGCTACCTGTGTGAAGGCGAATGTTTTACAGGAAGCCGCAGGAGTGCTGGTTTCTAGGATTAGTGAGCCCTGAAGGCACACTACATAGGAATTTATAGTGACACACTGTTTGGTGAAAGAGCGGCTGTGGGCTTTGTTGCACGTGTGAGATCTTGGGGATTTGAATGGTTCCCAAGGTTGGTCGCCGCGGAGGTGATGCTAGCGTGTCTTGGTAATTTCTCTTCCCCAGTACAAGCGCTGCCTGAAGTAGATACCATCATATACGGGCGTTTGTTCAAACGGTTTTGCACATTATTGTGAAGGTATTCCTTGCACTCAGCATTATGCGCAGGCACTCTTATCAATGCTGTCTCTACATTCGTCCTGAGGCCCCTCTTGGGACCTTGGAACTCTCTTTTCTGCAAGCCCGGGCTGTGCTGGCATGTAAAAGTTTCTCTGTGAAGGCGCAAGGGTACTGTCGAACTATTGCGGTTTGTACTTCTCCTCACACATTCTACCTGTCGCCTGTTTTCTCATAGCAGGAGACGCACACTTTTCAGCGCTCCAAAGGCAGCGAGCCATCGAAGTGCGACGGCCTCGTTATTTTGGTGTGTCGTTCGTCGTTGGCTAGTGTGTGTGTGTCCTAAGTCCTTTCAGTTTTACTTTAGTGGCTGATTATGCGCAAATGACTCTCGGGTAAGTTTTAAAGTGTGTCTGCCTGCCTGGGGAGTTGGTATAGGGTGATATTCAGCCGTCCTGCATTCAGTTCGTCTCGATGTACAGCTACTGAGCACCAAGGCGCTTTGTTTGAAGCGGGATGGGAAGATTTATGGAGCAGAGTTGTACATAAACACTTCCGAGTACGCCAATTTTATGTAGCTTAGCGAGGAAATGGCGAATTAGCCTCTCTGTTTGTACATCTTATTTACTGCATGGCACTGCTAGCGCGACGCAAGAAGTTGTAGTGTTGTGTGCGTGCGCGCCAAAGGCTACGTGCAATCAGCTGTCAAATGCTGGTGGTGCGGAGTGGGTGTAACAATGTGCACCCTTGTTGTTCCTTGCCCCAAGGGTCGGGACCTGACAGACGCATGCGGGAGAGGGTAGCAGCTCTATAAAAGAGCACTCAATAGCTTTCTACTGTGCTTGTGCTGAGGTCAACGTGAAGTGTCATCCTGCAGAGAGACCTTTGAGTGTAACGCTAAACCCTTTTCGTTGTGCACTCGGTTCCATCAGTCAGTAGTAGTACATATCCATTCCTTCCATAGGAATAACTCCCCAGTGGCACAGTGGTTGGCCACAGGATTTATTCTGCCCTTGGCATGAAAACAGATCGCCTGGAGCCCTTTCCGGCGTTTTCGTCTATCCTCCGCATGCCCGCTATCTAAGGTACCAACTACGGCCGACCGCACGCTGGTACCGGGGCACAACGAGGAAAAGGGCCTGCATCTTGTTCGTCTTTAGTGTATTCGGATTCCCATCCTCTCAAAAAACTCGATCAAAAGTTCCCTCACAGTTACCGGAAACTGCAGTATTCAGGGGCCCCCAATCCCGAGAGGGGGGGCCCCTGGTCTCTACCCTGGACCTTCATAACGGGATTTTGCCTTTCTTCCTTCAATCTTAAAATTAGATAGAGCTTTTTTGGGCAGCTAGGCCGTTGTGGGGTGGTGGGCGCCCCCGAGATTCTGCACTGAGGAAGCGTAGAGGGGGTTCGAGGCGGCTCGTGCAGCTGCCGCTGGATGCTCATTACCTTAGAGCAGTGAAGCCGGCAGCCTCTCCAAACGAAGAAGAAAGCCACAAAAACGATAAATAGGAGTGATCGTGATGAGCGGCAGCGCAAAAATACGAGCGGCGAGTGCTCCTTGTGGAAACTCGGCAGCAGCTGCCAGGGCAGCTCTGCGGCTGCTGCTGCGGCTGCTGCTGCTGCTGCGGCTGCTGCTGCTGCTGCTGCTGCTGCTGCGGCCATTCCGGGCCCAAGAGTTATTCGGGGCTTGGCTTATTCCTTTTCTCGCTCCTGCATGGGGGCACAGTACGAGGGCTTCTTGAATCCAGAAAGACCTGCAGCAGCGCCCACAGCAGCAGCAGCAACAACACGCCCTATGCCCTTCGCATGCCGCCGCTTCAGTTGCTGCTGCTGCTGTTCTCATTACTGCAGTGGCGCTGCAGCAACAGCGGCGCAGCTCTGATTTTTTTGCGCTTTCTATGAAGAGCCGATTCCCTAGGCCCTCTTACAGCTGCAGCAGAGGCAGCAGCAACTGCAGCGGCAACAAGCACGGAGTGCAGTGGCATCAACCCGTTCGAGTAAGCCGTTTTGCGCAGTGGGGAGGCCCCTGTCTGGCGAAGACAGCTGGAGTCTTCTGGATCAATCTTTTCTGATGCTCTTTGTCGTAGTAGGTAGCCGCGAAAGCAGTACTGCCGTGGCTGCAGCGTCTCTTAGTCTGAAAGGGTTCAACGCACTCACTGACGCTCTGCCGCAGCAGGGCAGTCCTATGAGGCCCCTATTTGAAGGGTATCGGGAGGCTACTGAACTCCCCTGTCTCCATGGGGGCGTTAGCTTTTCCTCGATTCACAAACCTTGTGCCCTGCACCCCTCGAGGGAGATTGGGGGCCCCCTAAGGGTATCTAGACTCTTGTGGAGGAGGGAGGGTAGGAAGCAGCATCTCCTGGCTCGTTTTTGATGCGCGTTTCATCGTATGCTCGGCGCTTGGGAGACTGAGGAGAGAGATGCATGTACAGGATCGAGCGCCCTCGTGCCGGCATGTTTCTGAGGCAGCCTCCTCTGTGCGTTGCGTTTGCGTGTGCAGGCGCAGGGGCCTACTTGAATTCGTGGCTCCTTTAAGCGTTTCCTGGAAATTCTGGTGGCTACTCGCTTGCCAGGAGGTCTCAGCAGCCCACTTTGCTTCCGGCTCCAGCAGCGGCAACCTCCTCAGCAAGGGGGCCCCTCGCGTTGTGACTTCCGCTTGCACGCGCTGGTTTGAGCCTTGTTGGAAAAAGGCCTCAACTGGCTAGCCTGTTTCCCAGATTGGGGGTGGCTTGAGCTTCCCTCCGCCCTTGTCTGGCCGTTCCACCGTCACGTTCCTCGACAGCCGCAGCTGCACTAGCAGCCGCAGCTGCTGCAGGCAGCAGCCGCAGCTGCTGCAACACCAGCAGCAGCAGCAGCCTGCAGCAGCACTCTACAGCGTGCTAGCTGACTGCTGCAAATGGGGAACAACGGCAGTTCTGCGCCTCCATTGACTTTCGCTGCGGGGGGCCCCCGAGGGGAGGGGCCTCGCACAGGCCCTGCCCCCCCCTCTGCCGCGGCTTCGTCCTCCCCACACGGTACGTCGAGGATCTGCCTGCTGCACTTCATGATCCGTTCTTGGTAGTTGAGGCTTGCGCGGCTTGAGAAGAGTCAAGCACGAGGAGGAAAAGCTCTGGGGAGGGGGAGAAACCTCTGGAGAGGAGGAGGGTGCAGGAGAGGGGCAGAAGAATGCGCGCTGTTGCAGGCTCGCTGTTTGCTGCTGCTGCGCGGTGTGTGTCAAATGGTGCAGTGTCAATCCTTGAGCGTCGCCTCCTGGCCGTCCGAGGGGCCCCTGGAAGCTCACAGAACTTTTCCGGTTCTCTCGTTCTGCCCCTACCTTGTGAGATGACCACAGCAGCAGTTGTGGCAGCTGGCAGCAGCAGCAGCGGCAGCAGCAGCAGTTTGCCCGCCTTGGAAGAAGGCGCTGAAGTGCCGCATGCTCTCTGTCGCTCATGCTGCACTCGAGCGCGGCAGCAGGGGCCCCCTGACCCCTCCCTGCTGCTGTCGGGGACTGAGCTGCTGCGAAGCACCCCCGAGGCGCTTTCAGAAGCCCCCAGCGCAGTAGCGACTGGCGAACACCTGAGCAGCTGCAGCAACTGCAGCAGCAGCAACTGCAGCAGCAGCAACTGCAACTGCAGCAACTGCAGCGCGGCTGTCCCCGCAGACCCCCAGGGCAGCGCTGTTGTTGTGCCTTTGGAGGCAGCTGCAGCTGCAGCAGCTGCAGCAGCAGCAGCAGCAGCAGCAGCCCAGCACCCGCAGCAGCAGGAAGCACCCCAGCAGCAGCAGGTGCAGCAGCAGCAGCAGCAGCAGCAGGCACATCGCTTGTGCGGGGCTGCCTGTGCGGGAGAGGGGGGAGGCAGCAACGGGCTCCCTGTGCCTCCCCGAGGCGTCAGCAGCAGCAGTCGCAGCAGCAGTGAAGGGACAGGAGTGGACGGTTTCTTGCGAGGGGCAGATTTGCTGCCCGCAGCAGCAGCTGCGGGGGTGTGTGTGGCTGCGGGGGGGGGGGCCCTCGCGAGTTTTCCCCAGGAGGGCCCCCGAGGCGCCTTGACGTTGAGCGATGTGGTTGAAGGCGGAGAGGGCGAGGGTTTTTCGAGGCTTGCGAGGGGCCCCCCCCCGCCTCTGCCGCGGGGGGCCCCCAACCCTTCCCCGAGCGGTGTGGGTGGCTCGCAGGGTTTGTTGCCGACGGTCGCTGCAGCCGCCGCTGTCGCTGCAGCGGCTCCGGCAGCTGGCGCTTCTGGCAATGCGAGTGGCAGCAGCGGCACGAGCAGCAGCAGCAGCAGCGGCAGCACTGGCAGCAGCGGCACCGGCAGCAGCGGCACTGGCAGCAGCAGTGTGTTCCGGCCTGGCGTGCCCCCCTCCGAGCCGCACTGCGTTGACTTTTATGTGCGAAATTTTTGGCGAGTTGCGAAGACTCAGAACGATTTGGAGTCGCCGACTTTGGGCCAGTGCAGGGGCTTCTTCTTCCGCCTTCTGCTGCACCCCCGAGGCACCATGGGGACGGATTCGGAGGCGTCACACCTCTCAGTCTTCTTGGAGGCGGTGCGACAGGACTGGTATCCCGAGGACTGGGTGTTTCCGAACGTGCGCTTCGAGCTGACAGTGGTGAACGTGAGGGATCCGAAGCTGTCGGTGACCTCCTGGGCGCACTGGACCTTCAGCAGCGAAGCGACAAGTCGCGGATGGCAGAAAATGATATCGCATGCACGCCTTACGCGGCAATCTGGATTCCTAGACGATGAGGGCACCGTTCTGGTGAGGGGCAAAGCGGAACCCCCATTCGCGTGCCTGTGGTCAAGGGGGCCCCTCTATAGGCCGCACAGGGCCTGGGAGTATATCCCCGAGAGGGCTGCCAAAGCTCTAGAGGAAGTGTCGTCCTCCTGCTCCGTCGCAGCAGCCGCGCTCGCAGGAGGCGGGGGCGGTGCCCCTTCCCCTCATCAGGGGCCCCCCCCAGCAGCGGCGACGCACAGGTTGAAGGCTCCCAGCGCCAGCCTGCTCTCGTATGTGGATCCGATCGTGCCTGCACTCCAGCCGTCTCTTGGCGCAGATTGTGTTGCGCTCTTCATCCACGTGAGTCGGGCTTCAAGGGGCCTCTTCATCAGGCAGGCCTTCTAGGGGGAGGGGGGAAGGTGGTAGAAGGGAAGGGAAGGGAAGGCAGTAGAAGAAACGCGTAGAAGGGCAGCGAAGAAAGAGCGTGGGTGGGGAGAAAGAGCAGCTTTGGGGAGAGAAAGAAAGAAAGAGAGAAAGAGAGAGAAAGAGAGAGAAAGAGAGAAAGAGAGAGAGACAGAGAGAGAGAGAGAGGGAGACAGAAAGAGAGAAAGAGGTTAAGGGGGTATTGCGGGCAGCAGAACGGCAAGCGGCCTGCTGTGGAGCCCAGTTGCAGCCCATGTATCTGTGTGGATTTCTCTCCGTATGTATGTATATTCGTGAATCTATATATACATATGTATATGTACATATGTATATATATCTGTATTTGTATGTATATTTCTGTGTGTGTATGTGTGTGTTAATAGTGCCTCTTCCACTTGTGCGAGTTTCGACGGCATATTTATTTGTGGGGAGCTGACCAAATATCGTATCCTTCTCCGGAGGCCTTAGCCGCGGATCCTTCGTTGGCAGCCTCGATTCCTTCTTTTGCGGATGGTTCGCTTATTGGGGCCCTTCAGCACACATTCGCTTACATGCAGCTGTGGCCGATGACAGTCGCATGCAGACGCCTGCAGCAGCTAGCGGGTGAGGGGGGCTTCGCGGCGCGAGAAATTTGCCCCTCGGAGGTGTGGAAGTGGTACGGAGCAGAGCTTTTCCCGAAGAACTCCTCGAGCAGGAGGGGGGCCCCTCCCGCTTTGCCGGGGGCCCCCTCCTCGCTGAACAGGAGACTCGCGTTCTGCTCGCTCTGCCACAGATGTACTTGCTGTTGCAGATGCAGGCAGCACGCGCCAGCGCCAGTCGTCCTCCAAGGGCCTCCTCCCCCCGGGAACGCTGCAGCCGCAGCTGGCATGCCTCATGGCAACAGCAGCGGCAACAACGGATATGAGCAGCAACGCGCCTTAAGTCCTCCGCAGCAGGGGATCGCCGAGGATTGGTTCGAGAGAGATCCCGCGAAGTTGGAACGAGACTCTTGTCTTTGCTGCGATCTCGTCGACAAGTATGCAGTCGCCCTCCTATGCCCTCTCTTCTCTCCTGTGGCGGCTATGCGCCTTTCGTGGAGTCTCTCTTTCTGTTTTTCTCTCTCTCTCTCTCTCATGTCGAATGCAGCTGCAGAGAGGAGAGGAGTGGAGCGGCATCGCCTCGCCTCGCCTCGCCTCTCCTCTCGCGCACAGTAATTTCTCCTTCACGGTTCCTTATTATGCATGTCCAGCGAGAGCTTCCCACTTATGGGGCCCTTCGCCCGTCACGCGTTTTCCCGGCCGAGTAGATGTGTGCTACATATATATTTGTGCATATCTGTCTACCCATATCTACTTCTACGTCTATTTGTATATCTAGATAGATCTATGCAGTAATGCATGCATGCGTGCAAACGCTTACGCCCACAGGCATAGGCATGCAGCCCAACTGTGGAGGGCAGTGCGTATCTTGGACGCCTGTCAGCTGTTTTTTGGCACGCCGCATTCGCAGTTTGTCGCGTTGGCGCTTCTATTGCCCATTTCCTCCGTGGGTGTCGGGGTCTGTGTCTGTGTGTGTTTGTGCACGTCGTGAACAACAGGTACCCGGAGCTGATGGACGCAATGCCACCGCAGCCAAACACGAAGTTGGTGTTGAAGGCGCTCCACTTCCATGATTTGCAGAAGCTGGACACTCCGGATCCGCTGGTCAGAGTGCATACGGAGTTGTTTTCTCTGCTGATGAGGGAAATCACGCGGGCAAGCCTCGAAGCCAGGGACCCCACAGAAGCCTCAAACACAAAACAGCGGGGAGCCACTGATCCTGCTACATCGATGACGACTGCGGCTGATGTCGCTGCTGCTGCTGGAAGCAGCAGCAGCTGCAGCAACAGTATTTGGGATGCGGATACGCACCACTACAGCTCGTGCGATCATCTCGAGGCAACCTGCCACGAATTGTTTTGTTCCTCAGACAGATCCATTGGACTTATGGCTCCGTAGGTTTCCCTCTCTTCCCCCGCTTGAAGGAGCTGCTGCTGCGAGTCTCGCTCCTTCGACTCCATCTCCTGCTGCTGCTATTGCTGCTGTTGCCGTTGCACTTTGGCACTGGTTGCTAGTTGCCTTCCTGCTTACTTCGTGGTGCTGACGGCGGCGAAAGGAGGGAGTTTGGAAGCCTTTGGTCCGACTCTCATACAATGCAAAATCAGAGAGAGTGTGCTGAGGCGGCAAATCTCTAATAATGCGTTTCCTTGCCTCGCTTTTGCACACTCTTCTGTGGTCTCTTCGTACATAGCCGAAACGCGTGTCGCGCTGCATCTACACTTTTATGCGTAAAGATATCTTCCTAGAGAGGCTCTCACACCTTTTCCCTCTGACTCCCTCCCGCTTTCTGCCTTGCACCTGCGACTTGCATCGGCCGCTGTCTTGCTGTTTTCAAGCTCCCTTGAAACGTTTCCTTCTGTGTCTATGGCCCTACAGATGCCCACATTGCTTTTTGTGGTTTCCTCCTGTGTTTGCCTTTTCAGGGATGGGACCCCCGATATATCGGCAGGATTTACGCGGTGTCGCCATGTTCATTCGTTGCAGAAGGCGCTGGAGAGCTGTGGAAAGGCGCTTCAGCAGTATCCTGAGGTGTTGTTTGTGTACCTCCAGTCGGCCAAGCAGAGTAAGAAAGGCGAGCTTTTCGATGCTCCCTTGCGGCTCGATGCTCAGGGTTTGCTGCAGCTGCGACAGAACGGTGGGATGTCGGCAGCGGGAGGGCCACAGGTAACATCTCCGGAAGTGGAGGGGGGAGGCGGAGGAGGCGGAGGAGGCTTAAGTGGCAGTGGGAGTGCCTTTGTTTCTCTAGACAAGGAGCGACAAAGGCGGCGACTGCGGAAGAAGCTGCAGCTCTCGAGGAGAGGCTCCAAGGGTGCTCGAGACTTTGCAGAAGAGAGCGAGGGATCTGAGGCGGAGGGGGTAGCTTTCACGGAGGAGGAGGAAGGCGGCGGGCTGTCTTCAGGGTGTTGTAAAGGTGGGGTTGGTGGCGGCAGCAGCAGCAAGGGGGGCAGTGTGTCTCAGGGGCCTCTGGGCTCTCAAGCGGCGACGGCAGCACCCCCTAGCGGCTCTCCGAGTGGGGGGGGAGGCCCTCAGGAAAAGTGGTATTCCTTGTTTGCGCTATTTGTTCGGGAAGGCGATCTGAAGGGTGACGGCTGTGGCGCTGGCACGAGTCACTACTTGCTGCTGCGTCCTGAGGAAGATGGCCCCTGGTTTAGAATAGGGGATGGGCGTGTCGAGAGGTTAAGCACTAAAGTTGACTTCACGGAGTGGAAGTGCCACCGAGACTTCTTCTGTGGGGGTGCCGTCTACGTTGCGGAAGACTACATTGACGCGATTCAAGCGGGCGAGGTAGATCTGAGCGGCGATCTTCGCGAGCTGAACCCCTGGCTCTACTATAGGGTTCTTTACGAGCTGGGAATTACCGAGTCGGAGATCAAGCGGCCGTGGACGGTGCCTCTCCAGCAGCAGCAGCAGCAGGCGCCTTTGCCGCCCTCGCGGCAGAAAAAGGAGCAACAGACTGCTCTGCAGCCGTCGCAGAAGGAGGAGGCAGACACCGCATTTGCTGAGGATGCCGTGTCTGCCAGCGAAGCGCCCGGGGGGGCCTCGCAGCAGATGCAGCTTCCGGACGGCGCAGGAGTTGGGCAAGAAGCCGTCGATGCAGCAGAAAGAACGTCCCCGCCGCTGCCCCCCCCTCCCTCAGTGCCAGCGCCAGAGCCAGCACCACTCGCGGAAGTGTTGCATGCAACAGATGCGCAGGCGGGTGCATGCGATCAGAAGGAGGACGCCGTACAAGGGACGCGCAAGGCAGCGGCGGTCCCCTCCCCCCCCCCGACGACAGCCTTAACGGCACCCTCATCCGGCCCTGTTTCCCCCAGCAACAACGCAGCAGCAGCAGCAGCAGCAGCAGCAGAAGCAGCAGAAGCAGCAGAAGCAGAAGCAGAAGCAGTCGAAGAGCTGTGTAGTGCCGTCACTGAGGCCCGCCTGCAGTCAATCCAGCCGGTCGCTTCTTGGCTTCTACGCGTGGTGGAGGAGAAGGCGCAACTAGCGGCTGCAGCGGCTCTTGCTGGCGAGCAGGTGGAGCCGCAGGAAGAGAGGAAGGCAGCGGCAGAAAGGGCGTTCTGCGCCATCGAGGAGGAGGAACTGCTGGTTCTCAACGAGCTGCGTCAGGTGCTCGCGGAGATCCTCCTAGATGAGTGGATCGACTCCTTTTGTCCGAAGACGGCCTGCGGGCTGCTCCCCATAGCCGCAGCTGCTGCAGCAGGAGATTCGTCGTCGTCGTTAGCGACTGCGGTAGCTGCTGCTGCCGCAGCCGCAGCAACTGCTGCTGGCGGAGGAGGGGGCGGGCGACTTTCGTGGGCTGCGTCTTCTCCCCAGTGCTTCAACCTGCTGACTCCAGAGGGCCGACTGCTCGTGACGACGGCTGTGAAGATCCTGCAGGGCCCCCTCTCGCGTCTCATAGACGTTGTGGCGTCGCTAGCGCGAGAAGCGGCAGCCTACCTCCAGGGGATTCACATACGGGCAGCTGAACTCCAGCGGCAGTTCCAGGCTGCAGGAGGAGCTCCTCCCGGTGGGGAGGCTTTTGCAGCGGATGTCGACGCGCTGATCAAGACTGCAGAGGCGCAAGCAGCAGATTCGACGGCCGCTGCAGCGCCTGCCGCCACGGAAGAACTCGCCGAAGCATTTGGCATCGATGGCTTCAGTCAGACAACGCAGGCGCAGCAAACCGTCATAGCGCGTCTCTGCGACCTCTGGAACTGCTGCTGGGCTTGCAGCGAAGAGGTCGCATCCCTCTTCTCGCGACCTGGCACTTCTTCCTCCCCCGTTGCTGCCTCTCGAGCGTCTCCCTTCTCTCTGGCCTTCAGCACGGCTGCTGCCGCTGCGGCAGCCGCCGTTCACGCCTCCCCCACAGGCCCTCCGGAGGGGCCCCTCCTCTCCCGAGCGACGCAGCTGCTGCTGGCTCTGGAGCACCGGGAAGGCTTCGCGACGGAGGGGAGTCTTGACCAGACGCTCAACGCCGTCTCCTGTCTCCGGCTGCGACTGGGGCCCCTGCCTCCGCTGAGGGAAATGCGACGCGTTCTCCGCGCGCACAGGCGTCTCGCAGCGCCTCTCAAAAGGCCTCACGAGGTTTTAAAGGCCTACTTCGACCTCTTGGGGGGCCCCGATGTGGCTGCGATCCTGCGAGAAGAGGGCCTCTCCGTGCATTTCGAGAGTCTCGCCTTCCAACCGCTCAGGAATCCCACGGATGACGGCACGCGCGCAGCCACAGCGAGCATCTTCCCAGCCGCCGTGACAGACGGCAGCTGCAGCCTCTGCTGCACCATCTGCGATACCAGGAAGAGCCGCTTCGCGCTCCCCGGAGCTGTCAGCGAAGTGCTCGCCGCAATACTGGCGTCGGCTTTGCGGTGCTGTCCGAGGCGACGTGAGGACTGCAACGGAGATCCTACGGAGGGCCTCATTGCCGCAGACTCCGCCCTCCTGTTCAGGGCTTTGCAGCACGATGCCCTTCTCGCCATGCATGCACAGAGCTGGCTGCAGCAGCAGCAGGCCAGCGCTGCAACGGGGGGGGGGACGGCTGCAAGTGCGGCTGCACTCGCTGCTGCGTCTCACCTCTCCGAGAACCGCTGCCCGAGCTGCGGAGTCGCCTACGATGCACAGGAGGCTGCGAGCACCGCTAGCGGCCGAGGCAACGGAATCAGCGGCTCCAGCAGCAGTGTACTTCCAGCTGCAGCAGCGGCCCCAACGGCGGGAGAAGCAGCAGCACAAGCAGGAGGAGAAGCAGCAGCGCAAGCAGCAGCGCAAGCAGCAGCGCAAGCAGCAGCACAAGCAGCAGCACAAGCAGCAGCCGTGGCGGCAGTAGCGTCTGGAGGGGCAGCAGCGAGTAAGAAAAGGAAGGCAGCACGAGGAGGAGGGCCCTCCGGCGGAGCCGGTGCGGCTAAAGAGTCTCTGGTGCCTCTCCTGGATGCCGTTTTACCGTATGTCACCTTCACACAGGCCGCAGCTGCGAGCGCAGATCCACGCGTCTTTCTGCTGTCGCTCGCCTTCTTGACTCCCAGCCAGAGGAGCAGCAGCAGCATTCGAGAGGGCCCAGTGGCGTGGGGACGTCTTGCGTCGGCGGAAAGCAGCGAGAGCCTCTGCAGGCGCGCTGCAGCTGCAGTTGTGGGAACTCCGGGGTCTCCCTCCGGCTCTCTTTGCTCAGGCTTGTTGCGATTTGGCTGTGGAGCTGATCCGTATGGGACGGGCAGTGGCAGCAGCAGCCTTGGGGGCGGGGGGGGGGGGCCCCTTGGCTCTTCTCCCCCTGGTTCGTCGCCTCCGGGGGCCTCTCGGTGCAGGGGAGTCGCGGCAGCGGCGGATCTGTGCACGCAGCTGCTGGATGTGGGAATTTTAGTAGGCCAGGATGTGTGTGGACTGGAGGGCTTCTGCATAGAGGAGGCCCTTCCCCTGAGACATCGGCTGCTCGTCAGACGCACCGACGGAGGCGGTGCTCCTATAAATGTGAGGCGCCTGCACTGCGCAATCCGCAGAATACTGCGATCGCAGTTGGGCAGCCTTGGAGGGGCTGCGGATGCCTGCGCGGGCAGTAGCGGCAGCGGCAGTGGCAGTGGGGGAGGCGTAGACGGAGATGACACGTGGGGTTATCCATCGCTCACAAAGGGGAATGACAGTGTAGGCTTCGTTGATCCAGACTCGGCCTTCAGTTATACCCCTACGCCGCTCGACGCGTTCCTGCTGTACGCCCTCCGTCCGGATCCTGACCCCACGAGAAAAGGTAGGCCTCGTTATTGCGAGGGAACCAAAAGCAGCTCGATTTTTGTGCTCGTTGGGCGAAGAGGAGGGGGGGAAGAGGATGTTTTCCTGTGTCTGTGGAGGGCTTCTGGCTCCTCAATGAGACTCTCTATTGGCTGTGGAGGCGAAGTAGCAGATGATGCACCGCACGTAGAGAGAGGGCCCTGTCTCTACGAGGGGTGTGTGTTTAGATGGGCGGTGTAAACGTGTGTGACTTTTTGTCTATGCGTAATTATATGGATATATGTATGTATATATATATATATGTGTATGTACTTATATGGAGACGTATTTTTCAAATGGGTGTATGTATGTATGTGGATGTCTGTAAATGTGTGAATGTATGTGGATGTCTGTAAATGTGTGAATGTATGTGTGTATATGTTTCTTTAGGGCGTCGTCGCTTTACGTTGATGGAGGCGAGCGAGGCAGTGGAGGCGTACGCCGATCAGAAGCGTCTGTTGGTGGATTCGGGGGCCCCCGATGTGACGATTTTGGTGATGGGGGCCCCTCTGCGTTCTTACCAGTCCAGTACTTCCGGCAGCAGTGCTACGAGCGGTGGGGGGGGGGAGCTGTTTCCTCTGGATGATGCGTCGGACTATCCCCTTCTGCTGTTCAAGTGGTTTGCGCCGGATTCAGTGGACCTTCTTTGCCTGGGGGCTTTGGTGTGCGACGCGAAGCAGCAGCTGCAGCAGTACGTGGTGTCGTGGCTGCTGCCGCTAGCAGCTGCACGGGGGCTTGTGACTGTGGAGGAGCAGCGGTCCCTCGAGTCGGGAGGAGATTCTCTCTTGGTGTTGGAGGAGTGCCATGTGCGGACGGTGCAGAATATCCGCAGGTGGACGTGCGCTATTCGCAAGATCAATAAGCGGACTGGCGACGTCATCCTTGTGCAGCCGAAGATTTCTATTGAGTCTCCTGCCTCCTTACGGCACAGAGAGGCGGCGGTGCTTCTTGACAGGGTGCGTGCGCTGGAGGGGTTTGTGGAGGCCGAGTTGGATGGTCTCGCAGCAGCGCTGCCTCCCCTCGCTTCTGCAGCAGCAGCAGCAGCAGCTGCTGCTGCTGCAGCGGGAGAAGGGTCTGCTGTAGCTCGGATGTCATCGGACGCGCTTCTGCTGAGTGCCGGAGGCACAGACGGCGTAGGAGGCGCGGGAGGTGCAGCGTGCTTGGGGGGGGGCCCCTATGGAGGGCCCTCCCCAAGCCTGCTGCTGGCGGGGAGTGGCGTGGTCGTCGGTGCTTCTGCGGACGGGGGGGAGGACGAGGGGCTGGGGGGCAAGCGGAAGAAGAAGAAGAGCAAGAAGCAAGTGCCCAAAGCCTCGATTCCATCGAACAAGAAGAGCACCATTGCACGGCTGGCAGAAGATAGACGGCGAGAAGAGAAAGAGATCATGGGCGACGGGGACCTCTCGCAAAATAGTCCACCGGTGCAGGCTGTCACATCCCCCTCCTCAGCTCTACTAGAGGCTGGAGGGGCAGGAGGAGCGGCAGCTGTCTCTGCTTCCGCCACTGCCATACTGCCTCCACCAGCAACTGCCCCGAAGCCCCCCCTAGCTGGCAGTGCTGGCAAGGGGAAGGAGGGCTCCTCTGCAGAGAAGAACGAGGATGCAGCTGCTGCTCTATCCGCGACAGAGCTCTTAGCCCATAATGCCACGCGCACCAAAATACAGCAGCAGGGTGTTGAAGGGCGCAGCAAGGGGAAGGACCCCACGAAAGTGGCCGTTGGTGCAGCCGCCAAGTCTCAAGACAAGCGACAGGCTCAGCAGTCCAGTAGTGCCTCAGCGGCGGCTTCACAGCAGCAGCAGCAGAAAGCGCCTGTCGCGAAGGCAGGAGAACAGCCAGCAGACAGCAGCAGCACTGCCGCAGACGCGAAGAAGCGAGAGAAGACGCAGCAGCAGCAGCAGAAACGCGCTGCAGCTGCAGCCGCCAGCGGAGGCGGGTCGTCGCAGACGGGCTTAGCCGCAGTGGCAGCCAAGTGGGGGTCGTCAGCGGCGGTTCCGGCCTTACAAGGAGACATAGAAGTGCCTGCGGCAGCTGGAGCTGGAGATGGGAAGAAGGCTGCAGCGGCAGCTGCTGCTGCAGCCTCCGGTTCGAGAAGTCGCGCAGTGGAATCGCTCCGGCGGGGGGGTGCAGCTGTCACAACGACACTACCGTCTTCTTCGTCTTCTGGGGGCCCTCAGTCAGCTGATCTTGAGGCCCCTTTGGCGAAGCTGCGCCAGCAGCAGCAGCAGGAAGTAGACTCCCCATCGTCATCGCCCTTGGCAGGAGCAACACCACTCGCCGATTCGAGCGCAGCCGCAGAGAGCCGCTGCGCCACAGCAGCCGCAGCAGCGGGAGCAGGGGATGTATCGCCTCCTGCTTCTCCAGCGTCTGACGCTGTCGCAGCCGCAACAGAGCTGCCGTTTGCATATATGCTGCGCCCCGAAAGCCTTGTGACGTTGCAGCAGCTGTCCGTCTCCCGCGATCTCGAGACAGACACTTTGAGGTCGCTTGCCGCCGAAATTTTGGAGGCAGTGCTGCTACACATCAGCGGGGAAAGGCCGATGGCGAGCGCAGCGGCATTAGCTGCGGGAGAAGGCGGCTCGCGCTCCCAGTCAGGCGGTGCAGCAGGGGCGAAAGCTGCTACTGCCACTACTGCCACTACTGCTGCTGCTGCTGCTGCTAGGACGTCGTCACCAGGAGACTGGCTGGAGGCTTGCCGAGGGAGTGTTGCGCCCTCAGCGGCGGCAGGAGGCAGCACAGCGCTGGCGAGGCAGCGTGCAGCCGCTGCCTCGCCAGCGGGAGGGGTCTCGTCAACAGCAGCAGCAGCGACGTCTCCTGGGGTAGTCGTCGCGAGAACTCCCTTCGACAGTCCTCTTGCGAGCGACGTGTTGCTGCAGGCCGTAGAGCTGCTGGATAGCATCAGTGCCACAAGCCTCAGCAGCCAGCAGCGGCCTTTGTTTGCGAAAGAGCTGCAGACGCACTTGGAGGCGACTCTGTTGAAGTGTTTGGATTGCAGCAGCGCAGCGGCAGCGGCAGCGGCAGCTGCATCTGCAGCAGGGGGGGCCCCCTTTGCCGCGGGGAGGGGCCCCCCGGGAGGACACACGGGGCGTCGCAGCAGCTACAGCGGCATAGCCGCACCGGGAGCTCGGTACGCTGTTCTGAGCAGCGGGAGCGGCGAGGTGTTAGCTGCGGCGGATGTTCGTTTTGTTGCATTCCAGCGTTTGTTGACACCTCGGCGACGTGCGACTTGTGAGCTGTTTGCTGCCCTCGCCGTGGCCAAGAGTGGGCTGATCATCTCCAGGAAGCTTCTTGCCGCTCAGTGTCTTGCATTTTTGGATCGTGCAACCTCCAGCTCCGCCTCAGCGGCTGTGGCGGGAAGCAGCAGCACAAGCACAAGCAGCACAAGCAGCACAAGCAGCGCAAGCAGCAGCAGCACCACCTTGCGAGTTGCTGCAGTCGTTACCATGTGGCTGGTGTTGGGGCCTAAGCACTTGGCTCGGTTGGGTGACTCTCAGCAAGGCCGTCGCTTTATTGATTCTGCTCTTCGCAAGCTGTCCGATTTTTGCTGTGCAAGAGCTCCCTCCGCAGTGAATTCTCCGTCTTCGTACCCGTGTGTGGGGCCCCTGCTCTCTACAGCAGGCGGCTTCTTTTCCCCCGCGGTGACAGCAGCGGGAGGAGTCGAAGCGCTCGTTGCGTGGGCTGCGGCCGTTTTGCTGAAGTGGCTGCAAGTGGGAAAGGCCACGCAACTCGCTTTGCCACGCACTTCGGAGGTGTTCACGACACTGACGGTGCTGCAGCTTCCAGCAGTCCTCTCGGGAAGCCCCCAAGGGCCCTCCTCGATCGCCGTTAGCGCCACCGCAGACACCGCAACGGCAGCGCTCGCAGCAGCAGCAGCAGCCACCACAGGTGCAGGTGCAGCAGCAGCAGCACCGACGGGCTGCGCGGCTGCGGGGGCCTCCTCCGGCCTGTCGAGCCTCGTAGAGGGGGGGACTGCCGCTGCGGGGGAGGGGGCGGGTGATGCAGAGGAGACGGAGAAGCGAGGCACAGCCGCAGCTGCGCTGTGGTCTCAAGTGGCAGAAGGCCGCTCCGCTGCAGCTCACCGCAGCCTTGGCAGGGTAGCAGCCTCTTCACCCGGAGGCCAAGCCTCCGCCGCAACGGGCGAAGACGGATCTCCTCGCCGCTCCGTTGTAGGTGGCAGAGGAGCGCAACAAGACGGCGCTCTGGTAGCCGCTGCGCTGATGGATGACAGAGAAGACAGCGAATCCGAGGCGGAGGACCTCTTCGTAGACTCCGCCCTGCCTCCTGTCCACAAGCTGCTAGGAGAACAACAGCAGGGTGGCGGGGGGGGCAGCAGAAGCAGCAGCAGCAGCAGCAGGAGGGTCTACAAGAAGGCTTCTCCCTACGTCATCGGCGAAGGGCAAAGCTGGCTGGTCCTCTATAAACCCGCCTTCTGGCACTGCTCCGGCTTAGGCAGAAACAGGCCGATCTCGATTCCCAAAGTCGTGACGTCGCAAGAATTAGAAGAGGCTCTCGCCCACATCTCGATAGACGAACTGGTGTCCAGCGGCAAGATCGAAAGTTTCCATCTCTACCTGATGAAAAAGGTACGTGCGCAGAGCGAACGAAAGAAAGAAAGGGCGGGGAAGGCCGCGTGCAAAGGGTCGTGCTGTGCTGGTCCCTGCGTGTATAGGAACCTCTAGCAATGCGTAGGCGACTGGTGCTAGGCTGGGGTGCTTCTACAGCTGATTTCAGATACCAACAAAAGGGCATGGATCGAGGTTCATCAACGGATATGATGCACGGTGCTTCCGTGGCCCCCCCAGCCTTGCTGGTTTTGCCTGCAGCGGCTGTGTCTTACATACGTGTATATGCATGTCTATGTATATGTCTATGTATATATGTATATGTCTATGTATATATATGTATGTGTCTATATATATATATCTATATATATATGTCTATATGTGTATGTATATCTTTATCTATCTATATCTGTATGTATGTCTATATATATGCATGTCTATATGTATGCATATCTATATATATGTATGTATATGTTTGTCTATCTATCTGTATCTGTATGTATGTGTATGTGTGTATGTGTATCAGTTTCCACGTCTTGAAACTGTGCGCCGTTGGGAAGAGATGGAATGCGGTCTGTGCCACCGGACAGACTTGGAAACCTCGGGGTCCTTACTTATTGCTAAGACGCGAAGGTATGCCGCTGCTGTTGTTTTTGCATGCGCATGGCAGTGACAGACAGCTTGCTGTCTGTCACTTTCTGCACGATGCCTGTCTTGGGTACTTTCATCGCGGCTGTGCGTGCAACTGAGCGCCGTCGGAGGCAGCGTCTCATGCTTGCCTCGCGAGTTGAACACTCAAACTAACTCTCGCAATCGTTTCGCCTGTTACACATGCTTGCATGCATCTCTTTGCAGAGCCCGAGAACTTATCTTCGAGCAGTTCAGACGGCGTTCAGTCCACAAGGAGTACCTCCTGCTATGCCACGGTCGCCTTGCCAAGACTTACGGCCGAATCGATCACCCCATCGCTACACGGTATTACAGGCGCACACATTGCATGCAGCATAGACGTGGAGGCTTTACGGTTTTGATTTAGCGCTCATGCAGAATTGCCCACCTCTTTCCCCCTTAAGTCTCTTAGTCGCTAGGTTTGTGTGTATGTACATATATATATATATATATATATATATATGTACGTACATACACATATGTGGAGCCGTGATTGATTGATTGATTGAAATATATATATATATGTATATATTAGAGAGAGAGAGAGAGAGAGAGAGAGAGAGAGAGAGAGAGAGAGAGAGA